CTCTCTCTCTCTCTCTCTCTCCAGTTGCAGCCCCGCCTCCCCCTCCTCCTCGAGCAGCTGCCCGGCAGCAGCACTGAAGAGTGACCGGACCAAGGGGCGACATGAACGGGCCTCAGCTCAGCGATCTCCCGGACGACTCAGAGCAGCTGGATCCGCATGTGAGCGGGCTGAGGCAGAGAGCCCTGCAGAGCAGCGAGCTGTCCGCCGTCACGAGCTTCTCCCGGGGATTCCTCCTTAAGTTTCTACGGGCCAGAGACTTCGACGTGGAACTCTGTCTGAAGGTACCACACTTGAGTCCAGGAATAAAAACCTCTTCCTCAGGAGAACACTATGTACCTGTAGAGAGTCTGAGATGTTACTTGAGTGTAACTGGATGAAGGTTTGGGCTGTTGTTCACTGTGCAGGGGAGAATCGTACACTCTGTGGTTGTACCGTGTGCACGATCGATCACAGAGCATGTGCTCACATGTTAATATTAAATCTAACCCAAGACACACATGAAAACTCATCTTCTGCAGGCTGGACAGCGTACACCACACAATGTCACAAATACTGTCAATCTCTAATATTTGTTTTTTATTTCACATGTTCTTGTACTTCAGTATTTACTATGTCATACTTCAACTTTCATACATTTTAGTGTAATGTGTGTGTGTGTGTGTAACATTCATGCTGTTTACAGAGTGACTGAACATTAGAAGAGAGGCAATAAATGCACACAACTGGTTCAAACTTCAATTCAATGTGATTGAAAGCCAATTGAAGATGCAACAGAAACTTCTCTAGCAGATTTCGAAAAGAATGGGGCCATGGTGCAAACTGAAGGCAGGATGTTTCATGTGTTCTGTGTGTGGGACACAACAAGCTGTGTCGTCACATTGTGACTGCACTCACAATGAAACTGTCTTGTGACCTGACAGAGCTGTTGAGAAACTGATGTCTGAATGTTGTGAAAATGCTGTTGATGACAACAACATGGGCGAGTGTCTCTAAATGTGTATTTCATTATTTCTGAGGTGAAAGAATGCTAAGTTGGTGATGTTATTAGTGATAAAGGTTTAGGTCAGCACCAACAATATCTCCCAGGTCCTTGACTTGGTCAGTGGTGAGATAACAGACTCCATATATGCACAAAGCTGCTTGTGAGCCACGCACCAGCCACATCGGCATTAGCGCTGTGGTCTTTTCTTTATTTGGTTGCAGGTGTGTGTAACATCTAGAGATTCGTGTCCTTCAGGCAGTAGAGCAGTGAATTCAAAGTGCTGATGTTTTACTTATAACAGTGAAATGTGGAGTGTGTTGTCTGTGTAGCTTTGATCACTGATCATATGTTTGCTGAAGCATGTGAGGACTGAACAGGAGAGACTCAGTTCATCATCTCGATATAATTACCGTGAAATGTCCACGTTGATATGATCTGAAACATTGGAGGGCGGTGTCACACAGACCTTCCAAACTCTCAAGCCTGTGAAGTCTACAGTGGTGAATGCTGAACTTTAAACCAGTATTGTAGCCTTCTTGGCATCAGTGTCAGTCAAAGTCACTGACAACCTAAATGAGAGCAATTTGGGTGAGTTCAGAGTCCAGGGTGCTGATAATCTTCTGTAAGTGACCAGATGATGGTGCAACTGATGACAAACAGTTTCCTCTATTATTTTGCTGAGGTGGACTGCCCTTACAGTTACAATGCATTCGTTGGCCAAGGGTTGTTTTTACACATAAACATTTTGAAAATTTATTTTCACTGAAAAATGTAGCAAAACTATATAATACATATTTACATTGACACTACAATCTCATATCACATGACAGGACGACAGAGCTGGATACCCCAACTCTAACAGGGGCAGCTGTTAGCTCTTATTACTTCTCACAGTTAACACTATAACTAATGTAACTCACTAAATTATTATTCTGTGTAAAGCCATGGCAGCTGCATAATATTTTTACAGATTATATCTGTTTTATTGTCTTCGAACTATATGTGTCACATGACTATTTTGAGAGTGATACTTGGCCCAAGTTAATAAAGAGGTGAAGTGCAGAATTTGTGTATTTATTCACTGCAGATAAAATAATGTAATAATAAAATCATGTCCAAAAAGTGCATGAAGTCTTATCTTAATGCCAAACATACTGTGACTTGTCAATGACTGCATCTGCCATTATTCTAATATAAAATAGCCATAAACTAGCTAAAGTCTAAATTATGTATAAATAAATACATAACAAAATATAGATATTTTGCACCAGCATATCGATAATAACATCTCATTAGTCAGGTTGAGGATATATTGCTGTTTCAATATTTTGTCCCACCCCTAACTCTGACCATTCTTCTTCCGACCCATCCCTCACAGGTCATCCAACACATAACTGTCATACATGCACACAAGTACTCAATTGTAAATCGTATACTATTTCGAATACTGCCTCTGTGCATTCTCATTGACTTTCACTTAATCAAAAAACAAATGGTGTGTTTCGTTGTGTAAAAGCGCACAGCTCAGACACACAGTCCAGTACTGGAGTTGACGTCAGGCAGGAGGTGACTGAGTTACTTTTCTGTGGTAAAAGTGTGAAAGACTGTGAAAGACTGTGAAAAACAAAAACATCTCTAAAAACAACCAGTGATCCAGGGGTGTTTTTACAGTTGGAATATATTCCTAAAGTGTTGTTTGTAAACAGTTTTGTTAAAGCGGTGCTCCATGTAGAGCGTTCAGTTGGGAGCTCAGCAGAGAGGGTGAGGTGCTTATCTGAATTTGAAAGCAGCTGGAGCTCGGCCATGTGGGTCTAAGCTCTGTGGCCGTAATAAACACACAAACTGAAGGGATAGTTCACCACAAAAATATCTACTCACCACTGCCCCGATGGAGGGGTGGGTGAAGTGTTTGAGTCCACAAAACACCTTTGCAGTCTCAGGGGTAAACAGTGTTGCAGCCAAATCCAATACAATTGAAGTAAATGTTGACCACTTTTTGAGCCAGAAAAAAATGAAAATGCCTCCATATTGCTTCTGAGCTGTCATCCAAGTGTCAGTAATTACCAAAATTCAAATTCAACTAGGTTTTCAGCCTAAATGTCAGCTAAACATGGTGTTAATGACCTTGTTTCCAGTAGAATTTGAATGTCGGGGCTTATAGACACTTGGTTTTTACATTTGAAGAAGGAGTCACCATTTACTTCAAATGTATTGGATTTGGCTGCAACACTTTCTAACCCTGAAACTCCAAAAGTGTTTTGAGGACTCAAACACTTCACCCACCCCTCTATCGGCATAGTGGTGATTAATTTTTTTTGGGTGAACTATCCCTTTAAGCTGCTAGTTTTATTTCCCTATATGATCCTCAGCAGCAGGGACGTTTACTCTGAGGGTTTGGATCAGAAGCACACAGCACACATCTTCTTTGATGCACTGCTTCAGCTACAGGTCACATAGGTACAGTAGACTCTTGTGATTTCCCTCATTGTCCCTGAACATTGCATGTGTCCTGTGCAGCTGTTACTGAACTATCAGCGGTGGCGGAGGGAAAGTCCTGAGCTCAGCGGCTGTCTGTCTCCCTCCTCTGTGCTTGGCCTCCTCAGCACATCGTATCACGCCGTTCTACCGCAGCGGGACCATGCAGGCAGCAGGGTGCTCATCTACAGGATCGGTGAGTACTCAAAGCAGTTATGCAATTACTGTATCCAGCAAATGTGTCGTTTTTAATGTTAACCTAAACATCACTTTAAATATATTTGAAACATGAGACAGAAAAGACAGAATCACTTACATTTTTAATCTGTAAAATTTCAGTCCTGGTTTTCAATAATAACTACAACTGCAATATGACGAACACATTATGTTTACTGTGGCGGCTTCACAATAAAATCATTTTTCCTTATAAATTATTTTGATGTGAAGCAACAGCAGTAGGAGGATTTATTTACACAAGCAATAACTTAAAGGTACAGTGTGTAGAATTTAGTGATATCTAGTGTTGAAGTTGCATGTTGCAGCTCAACACCCCTCACCTCACCCTCCACTTCCAAACATGAAAAAGAAACTGTGGTAGCTTCAGTCGTCATAAAAACTCAAAAGGTGTTTAGTTTGTCCAGTCTGGACTAATGTAAAAAACATGGTGGCCTCCGTAGAGAGGGTCCCCTCTATGTAAATATAAAGTATTTAAATATAAAGGGCCTTTTCTGGGGTAAAGAAAACTACAATTCATATAATTTAGATGAAATGAACTAGTGAAAACATCATGAGGATTATTCTGCATTAAATTTCTGCCAATAGCCAATAATCCCTTTCACCTAAAACTGACACAGTGGACCTTTAATAGTTAAAATGAGTGAACGTGTTAACACTAAGATCAAACTGTGCTGGATCAGTTACCAGCCGCATTGTTTCCTGTCAATCTCTGGTGCTCAGGGAGGAAATCTCAATCCAGCATCCAGAGATGAACTGAGCAAAATGTGGTATATCTGGAGATAATCAGCACTGGCCAATGACTGCACACATAAGGGAAGATAAAAAAAATTTGAACTGCAATAAGCTCAAGAAGATGGTGCAAGTTCATTTAGGCTGAGTTCAAATCTTGTTAGTTCAATGTCAGTGAAAAAAGTGTCTGTGCTAGGAGCATGGTTCAAAGAGGTGGAGTTTAGTGTCTTTGTGAATCACTTGTTTTGGGTGTAACATGCAATAAACAAAGTAGAGTGTAAGTTCAATATGATGAATCATACTTCTGTCTTTATAACCGGCCTTAAAACAATAGTGGAATACATGCACCACTGAAGCACTGCTGCCTCAGGATAGCACTGCACCAGCAATACACTCGATTACATACTATGTTACAGTTTTTCACAATTGTTAAAACACGTTTTTTGAATCCTCCTGTCCTTTTCTCAGAATTCTAAACACAAAACTCTTTTCTCAAACTACATTCACAAAACCTCTGATTCTTTTTGCAAAACCACACCATCGCCTCAGAATAGTTTTACATGTGCTCAAAGCCGAACAATGTTGTCAGATCATGCACGAATCGGTCAAAATAGAAAAACTGCTGAGCTGTCATTAAACACCACACCAAAAAATTGAAAACACAGTGGTCAAGGCATGTTGCTCATGGAGAAATGTTTATTGGTCACAATAAAGTACTGGGTCAGGCCACAGCACTTCATTCACATCACACGTTATATTTGCCCTTGCCAGGCAACAGGGAAAAAACCCTAGTGTGCCGTACCCAGCCCTGACACATCTCCTCACCAATGTCATCACAGGCTAGTTCCATGGCCTCAAGAAGATTACAGTAAGCCTGGTGTAGGGCTGTCGCTCATACACCTTCCATCTCCGAGTGGAGGAAAACTCCTCTATTGCATTGAGGAAGGGAGAGTACGGCGGCAAGTATAGGTTACTGTACTGATATTCTGATTCATATYGAACCATTCTCTGACTTGGACAGCGCGGTGAAAACTAACATTGTCCCAAATTATAACATAAATAGGCCGCTCCATCGTCTCATGTTCCTGCTGTTCATTTGCAGACAACACATCTCTAAGACCACCGAGAAAGCTGAGAAGGTGCTGGGTGTTATATATGTATAGTATATGGCCCCAGAGTGGCATGATGGTGAAGAACACCCCGGTTGCTTATAGCAGCACACAGTGTTATATTACAGTACTGTACCACCATCAGAAATTGCCACTCTTCGTCTTCCTCTCCCTCCTCTTCCTCTGCCTCCTTCTTGTCCTCCACTTCTACCTCCTCTTGTCTACCTCCACACTCGTCCTCTGTGTCTCTGATCCATTGTTGTCATGAGCTTGCAGGACCAACCTGCTTGCACTCTGAACTGGCTTATATTGGTTGTCATGTTGTCATGACATGAAGAGAAACAAGTGTGATCAATTTTGAATGGTTGTGTTCAATGGATGAAATGTGTTTCATTTGTGTTCATATTTTGCCACTGGTTTTTACCATTATGCATCACAAATGCATCACAGTGAAAACTGTGTTTTATTGCATGAGAATGTGTTTAGAGTTTTGCAAAAGGAAAGACTGAGATCTGCAAATAGTGTTTTACTAGGTGAAGATAGTTTATGGTTTTGTCAAAATGATGCTCAATTCAGTGAATGAGTTTAGAGAACTGAGCAATTGATTCACACAACAGGAATTAGTGTTTTAGCAATTCAGAAAAACTGTAAGACAAACACATCTATGGGTGCTCAGACGGGCGCAATTGCATCATACATTTTATTTATAGGCACCTATTAGATTACTCACCTCACAAGGCAGAGATAAAAACACAACAAAAAAATGATCTTCAAAAACTTAAATAAAATATGTAGTTTGGCTAAATGGAAGACAATCAAACTGAACATGCCAGTTTAAAAAGATGGGTTTTGAGATGGGATTTGAAAATGGAAAGAGCGCCAGTGTTATGAATACAAAAAATAACAACTGATCTGAAACTATATTAAAGGCACTTCTGTTGTACTTGATGCCACTTTGTGCCACTTTGCTTGAGGTGTAAATTTCATTCGGCATAGTGAAGTTGTTGAATTTTTTCATGACCTGCGGACATTTTAATAGAGTACAGATTTACTTAAGCAAACAGTAAAAATATACCTTTTTTTATTGTCAATTATTTGTCTGTGTTCAACTAAATAATCCTAAATAAGGTTAGTGTTAAATAAATGTCCATTTAAGATTATTTAAGCAGTTTCCCTTTTTTGTAATTATTAATTTGTAGTATTTCATTATTTGCAAATAAGAAGAACAACATTATATTAGTGTTTTGTATCGGCCGTCAGCCGCCCAGCTCTTTGATTATTGCCATCGGCCATTGAAAAGTCCATATCTGTCAATCAAGAGTACAAACATCTTTGCTGAAAAAATGCAGCCCGAAAATCAATCAAAATATTTTTGTATAGCCCAGAGTCAAAAATCACAATTTGTCTCATAGAGTTTGGTTTGATGAAGACAACCTGTTATAACTGCCATGTAAATTATAAACATGTGATTTACAATTACTCAGTCTGAAACAAGGAAAAAAACTGAACTGGAATCTTTTAAGTTAAAAACCACAAACCAAGGCAGAAATCTTAGAGTAGTCATTGACTCAGACCTTAACCTTAACAGCCACAATAATACAATGACAGCGTCTTAAGAACATATCGAGGATTACATTTATTTTATTTTATTTATTTAGGCATTTAGCAGACGCTTTTATCCAAAGCGACTTACAAGGGAGACGTAACATTCAAGCTACATAGCAACAAGGATCTTAGTGTAACAATAAATACTACCCTATGTTTAAGGGCAGAGATTAAGTAATAATTTGCAGGAGATGGTGGTAGGGGAAAGGAAAGGAGAGACTAGTAGTGCTTGAAAGCAGAGGAGTGGTAGAAAGAGAAAGAGTGGTGTTCTCAGCAATCGTTCTGTAGGCAAGCATAAGTGACTTGATCTTAATGTGAGCAGGTACAGGCAGCCAGTGAAGCTCAGTGAAGCAGTGAGGTAACATGTGCCCTCTTTGGTTGGTTGAACACCAGACGCGCCGCCGCATTCTGGATCATCTGAAGAGGTTTCACCGCACAAGCTGGCGAGCCCGTTAATAGGGCATTGCAGTAGTCGAGGCGGGAGATCACCAGGGTTTGTACCAGCAGTTGGGTGGCATATTAGGTCAGGTACGGCCTGATTTTTCGGATGTTTTACCCTAAAGTGCGAAGCGACACGACCAGGAGGCTGAGGCAACATGGTCCGAGAATGTCAGTTGGTCATCGATGATGACGACTAGATTCCTTGCAGCCTTGGTAGGAGCAAGAGTTAGGGAGTCAATTTTGACATCGATGTTGTGATGTATAGCTTTTTTGGCTGGAAAGACCAACATCTCAGTTTTTGCCAGATTCAGTTGAAGATGGTGATCCTTCATCCATGTGGATATGTCAGATGACTTACTGTTTGTCACAGAAGGTTTTGGAAGAACTTGACCATGCATTTCTCTTCAGCTGACTTGACCAGTGTAAAGCTGTGTTTACAGGTCTCTAAATTATCCCTCAGAAAGCTCCAGTCCTCACTAACACCAAGAAAGTGGATGTCTTATGTTGCTTTTACAATTTGTCATGATGCCTTTTTAAATTTTATGTAAAAGCCCTTTGAATTGCCATGGTGTTGAAATGCGCATTAAAAAAAAACTTGCCTTGCCTAAGAGAGAACATAAGAGTTATTGTCAAAAATGATGTAAGTGGGCATATTTCATATCAAGGAGTCTTGTTGTTTTCACAGTCCATGGTCAAGGTCACATGACCATGTGTTGTTTTGAACAAAATATCTCAGCAATGCCCAAAAGGGAATATGATTACATGTGGCACAATCATTTACTCAGACTCAAAGAGTTTTGACTTTTGAATGCCATATCTCCAGAAAGCCTTGAGGGAATTCTTTCACGTTTGGCACAAATATTCACTTGAGTTTGGATTTCAATTTGGTAGCCAAAGGTCAAGGTCACGGGGGCCTCACAAGGTATGTTTGTGCTTTTCTTGAACATGATATTTTAAGGTCAGCATGAGGGAATGTCTTCAAATTTGGCACAAACTTTCACTTGGGCTCAAAGAGGAACCTCACATCCCTGTGAATGTGATATATCAAGACTGTATTATTACAGTTATTATTATATGTTTATATAATATAACAATTTTACTAACCATATTTTCCTAAACTAGAGAGGGGGTGTGGCTATGTGCCTTCAACTTTATGTGTGTGTAAGCCCTATGTTCCCTCAGCTGACAGAGTTAACGACTATCAAATACAATAAAAAAGCAATAAAATGCTGATGCCACATATTCAGTGTATATATATTTATAATTAGTATAACTAATATAACTAATACTCTATATATTTGACTCAAATGACTCAGAAAACACAGTGAATGATGCCCTCCCAATCGAGGGCATCTTAGTTCACCTGTCACCACCGTTAGACAGACACTGTTGACATAATCGACATTTTTTCCACAAAACAAGTGGAATTTAAGTAGCAGCCATTTTCTTTTCAGCTTGATGCTAGATGCTAACAGATCCTACATCAGGAGAATTAAATGATCTAAACATTCTAAACAACGTCCTCAGAAACTGGAAGATGGTGTTGACATATCATGGTTGTGACACAGGAAATATTAACATTAAGATTTAAAATACTATCAATCTGTAAAACATATTTGATCCTGTCTGCACTTTGCATAGGTGGAATGTGAAAATGGATCCTTCAGAGTGACTGCTGCCCCTAATATTGCCTGATTTTATTACATTTGAATGAATGTGGGGACACAACTTTGAAACTTATGTAATATGCATGTGTCATTGAAAAACAACATAGCTCTGATGTGAGATATTATTAAGATTTTCTTTTTATGAAACAAACTCAATTTAATCATTACAAATATTTTTATTGCACATGAATGATTGAACCCTTCTCTGTGGACATGCTGTTTTAGATCTAGTGGGAAGTCATAGATTTTATATAATAATATAATATTATAATTATTAAATTAAATTAAATTGCAGAAGTTAATTGTGTTGAATACATTCTATTATTAATATATCAGATTACATTTGAAAATATTTAAATTTTCAAACTTAATCGCAGTTTCCACTGGTGGACTTGTTTTGTCCCATGCCTCAAGAATCACTGGTACAATTCACTTGGACTCACTGATTAACTGATTATATTTTGGTCAAAGATCTAGGTCACAGTATCCTTTAAACAATTATTTTGGCCTCTTTAAAGTCATATCAAGACTGCTTGAGGGAGTTTCTTTAACTTTTTTGATCAGTTGTCAGTCCGTACTACAGTGGACAGATTCAAGTGTATCTGACCCACATTTTAAATTCACCATCATGTTAAAAATTTGTGCATCTATAGGTGTGATTGTTTGTGTTCTGTTACCCAATTCATTACAGTTTTCAATTAAACAGTCCCAGTCTCCGCAGCTTGGTCATAAAAAGCTTTATCTTAGCTGCACTCTGTATTTCCTGTTTGTTTTAATTGTATCCCCCAACATGATGCATCGCCTTTCTTTTCTTGAAAGTTGAATATGAACTGATTTCAAGTTAACCAGTTTCTTCAAGCCATCACTCATTCTTATATGTCAGGACTGACTGTGCCACTTACCTCATTCAGTTTCAGTTACAACTCAATTGATTATCCTCATCACACACAGTTTTGTTTCCATTCAAGATCCCCATCAAAATGCAATTAGTGTTTTGTGAAAACTACACTAATGATTTTTTTATATATTCACAATGGCTCAAACAAGTGGAATATGAAATATGACAAATGTAGTGACAAACCCACAAAGTCTCTTTTAGCTCATTATTTTACTTTTTACTCATCTCATTTCCAACAGCAGTGAAAAAGCTTGATAATTAACTCTGATAGCTGCTCAGTTCCAAACAGCACACAACAAAGTGAGCAAGGAGCTGGTGGAGCCAAGGTGGAGGATTTAGCAGCTGAAGAGTATTTCCCTCAAGAGATGGTAGAGTTCAAAAAGAGAGGGAGAAGAGGGGTCTAATGTTGCAGCTTAGTGGCCTGATTTTCTGATTTCCCTCCTCAATTCCACCTGCAGGTCTTCTTTTTCATTTCAGAGTGAAATGCCTTACAACTATGGAATGGATTGAAATGAATTTCATAGACATCCAGGAGAAATTGTAAAACATGTCTTCTGACCTCACACCTAAGAGGATTAAGGGCAGCTGTGGCTAAAAGGTAGAGCAGGTTGACCACAAACTAGAGGGTGCTCGGTTCGATCCCGGGCAAGACACTGAACCTCAGATTGCCCCTGATGGCTGTGCCAGCAGTGTGTGAGTGATGATAGAGAAAGCTGCAAATACAGTAGATGCACTGTCTGAATGTTATGTGAATAGATAAATGACAAAAACTGTACTGTAATGTGTTTTGTCTCAATACAAGACTAGAAAAGTACTGTAGAAATAAAGATCATTTAACACCATCGTTAGGTCAAAATCTCTGAGGATGGGGGTGATACCATACATACCAAGATTATTGTTTTACCCCACAGATAACCTCTATCTTGTGTAGGTGTTGTGTGCAATGACAGTTGTGAGACTCAACCACACTGTCTTTAGCTTAAAGCTACAGTATGATATGCCTCTCTCCCTCTCTCTCTCTCTTGCTCTCTCCCTCTCTCGCTCTCTCCCTCTCTCTCTGTCTGTAGGGCAGTGGAACCCCAAAGACTGGTCGGCCTTCCAGGTGTTCCGGGTCAGCCTGATGACATCAGAGATCATCTCCATGGAGACACAGACGCAGAGGCAGGGTCTGAAGGTTATATTTGACCTGCAGGGGTGGAGTTTAGGCCATGCCATGCAGATTAACCCTTCCCTCGCCAGAAAGATATCCTCTGTGCTTTCGGTAGGCCTTCAATCATGGTTCTAACTCACCTACTTTAAGCCTGTGCTTCATTGGTGTCTTCGATGGCAATAACATTTTTAATTCTATGACGGTGATACCCAACTCTTTAAAACAGGTTATACCAATAAAGGACGAAGAACTTAGACGATTACGTTATGATAGTATGTTGCACAACAGGACATTTCGGTGATAAATTGTTTGGCCAATTTGCCTGACTTAATTTGTCCGTTTAAGATCATCATACTCAGCAGATTGAATTACTGTCTTTCATTGTCGTGTGTGATTGATCTGATATAACCATTATTAGCCAGTCCATGCTGTTTCACAATTTAACTGAGTGACTGAATTGATCAAGTTGCTTAAAATTGTTTTTACAACTGTGTGTGGGGGTTGTTTGTCATCAGGAATCCTTTCCATTGAAAGTCAGAGGAATTCATCTGGTCAATGAGCCAATGTTCTTCTGGCCGGTCTTTGCCCTGATTCGTCCCTTCCTGCCAGATAAGATCAAACAGAGGGTTAGCACTATAATTAAAACACTCCACTCAAAAATATCTGTTTCTGTTCTTAGGCTGTATCCATACAACTACTAAAACTGTGTTTTCACTCTGAAAAAATCTCTGTCCACGCAAGTCTTTTGGCTCAGTAACAGTTTTAATCCCATTTGTGCTAACAAACATACACTGGTCCTGCACGTGCTGAAAGGAAGGCAAGCAAGGCCTGCTGGGTATAGGATTGCTCAAATATTTGCTTGCCTCCTACACATGTAAGCAGTTGCATCAGTGTAAAATGCAGAATATAACTGCACAACAGCTGTTAGCAAAGACAACGGTGTCAGCAACACTTGTAATTGATTAGCAATGTTGTGTTCTACACTGGTTACCAAGACTAATGCTATGGTAGTTTTTTCGTCTTGAAGAGGGTCATTTGATAGTAGCCTGACGAATCAGCTATGTGACTGAAAAGAACCAACAAACTGTTTAGTTTCCACCTATCCAGACACAGTCCTGGAGTTTTCAAACTAAACATGGCCAGCAGCGTTTCCAAACTTCTCAGCTCTAAAACTGTGCAGTAGTGTGGATGCCAGGCACATCTGTAGCAGGGATGATGCATTTTCAAACAAAAATGTAGTAGTAGGGATGTAGCCTCAGACTCTGATCTAAGACTTCCTTTAACATACAAATACAGTAAAAATGGCTTTAACTCGTCAAACCAAGTTACTTCTCTCTCTAGATCCATATGCATGGTGCTGATTTCCACGACAGTTTAAGTGACTTCTTCTCACCGGCCGCCCTACCTCCAGAATATGGAGGGGAGGGGCCTGGAATAGAGGAGGTGTGCAGAGACTGGACCAATCATCTGCTTCAATCAGAGGGGCTCCTGCAGCAGATTGCCGCCCATCCAACGGCTGACATTGCCATAAGTCAAGAAAACTCCTTGATCTCAGAGGAAGCGGAGAATGAACAATACTCAGAGGAATGACATTTGGAGTTATGTCCCCTCGAAGACAACTGGAAGACATTTTTAGTACAAATTATATAATTTGTTTGCTGTGTTAAGAGAGCTGGAAAGATGCCCATCAGATGGAGTTTACATACTTTCGGAGTCTACAAGGGCCAAACTGAAAAGGTGTTGACATCGTCATAGACTGAATCCTCTGAAGGATGCAGCCCCTGAATTGGAATATAGCTGTCATCAAAACTTTCTGCCTTACTGCCTCTAAATACTCCATGTTGGACATAGCAATAATAAACACATGCGTAGCCAATGATCCAAACAGACAGAGGATGTGTGAGGTAGCCATCACACACAAGTGAACTAGTACTTAAAAATACCAGCCTTACATGTGTTGCAAGATGTTACTGTGTGGATGTACTATTCAACAATTCAAATCTTTTTTTTCAAATGCTTTTTTCAAATTTTTTATTTATGACATGAAATTGTGGCATTTTTACGAAACTATTCTTTAATTGCAGAATTTCATCAGTAATATATTAATTAGGATTAGGTGATGGTAGGTCAGGTGATTCATTGTTCATTTGGCCCCATTTGGATCAACATTATATGGAAGGATGGGCAGTATTTATGAAACATGTATTTAAAATACGTACTTGAAATACAAAAAGTATTTTGTAATTTTTATTTGATAGGTTTGATGAAAATGTATTCATATCTTGTATCAAAGATACTGAAGTGTTTTGCATTTTTGTAGTTAAAAGATATTGTAAAATACAAATCAATGCAATGAAATTCTTAGTTCTTTTTTCTCTACCTCGTGCCATTTATATAGATAAAAATCATCCCAAAAAAACTAGAAACATTTGTGTGTGTATATATATATATATATATGTGTATATATTTATACATACTGAAAACGTAAAGGTTCAGTGTGTAAGATTTAGGAAAAAGGGATCTATTGGTAGATATTGAATATAAAATAATCCTCAAGATGTTTTCACTAGTGTGTTTCATCAAAGTTGCATGAATTGTGGTTTTCTTTACCCTAGAATGGGCCCTTTATATTTAAATATAAAGTTTTATATTTCTGTTTTGATGACAACTGGAAGGAGTGTGAAGAGGTGGTGCTGGGGGTGTGTGGGATCTCTGATGGTGTTTCAGGCTCTTCTGAGGACCCTGTGCTGACAGATGTCCTGCAGAGATGGGAGGGTCATTCCAGTGATGCACTGGGCTGATCTGACCACTCTCTGCAGGTGTTTGCGGTCTGTTTTCTGTACTGTAGCCATACCACGCTGTAATGCTGCTGGTCAGTATGGACTCAATGGAGCACTGATAGAAGTTGCAGAGGAGTCCTGATGACAACTTGAATTTCCTTAGCCTCCTCAGGAAGTGCAGCCTCAGCTGTGCCTTCCTGATCAGCTGAGTGATGTGGGCCCAGGTGAAGTCCTCACTGATGTGGACGCTGATCGATGCATGTAGCCTCTGATTGGTGTCTTCTCAGTTATTTGCCCAAGGTTGTTGAGATCAGGACGTTGAGGTTCAGAAAATTGATGATCCAGCACAGAGTGAGACCCAAAGAAGAAGAAGGAGCACAAGGTGAGAAATGAGTTGGTTTCCAGCTCTCCAACGATTTTTGCATAAATTGTTACAATTCTCAAATTCCTCTTAATTATGGTGTTAGTATTAGTATCCTTGGCTAAATTAAATTTACTGCATGTTCTTGCAAACCTTTTAACCCAAGTAACGTTGGCAGCCCTCACAGTTAATGTTAGCTTGTTACCTTCAGCCTATGTCAAAGGTCCAGTGTGTAAGATTTAGGTAAAAGGGATCTATTGGCAGAAATTGAATATAAATTAATCCTTGCGATGTTCTCACTGGTGTGTTTCATTTAAATTGTACAAATTGTTGTTGAATTGCCCCTTTATATTTAAATACTTTATATTTACATCGAGAGGGGGTCCTCTCTACTGAGGCTGCTGTACTCTATGTATATAGTTTTGTTTTTTTTTGCTTGGATGTATCTTTTCTCATCCATGATTATACTATTATCCCATATATCCAGGTACATCATAAAAACTCAAAATGTGTTTAGTTTTTCCAGTCTGGGCTACTGTACAAAACATGGTGGCCTCCATAGAGAGGACCTGCTCCTGATGTAAATATAAAGTTTTTAAATATAAAGGGGGAAAGAAAACAACAATTCATACAATTTAGATGAAACACACCAGTGAAAACATCTCTAGAAATATTTTGTATTCAATCTCTGCCAATAGAGCCCTTTCACCTAAATCTTACACACTCAACCTTTAAGGTCCCAACCTTAATTTATAAATTGCCTTGAGATAATGTATGCTATGATTGGCTTCTATTCAAAAAAATTTTGAATTCATTGTTTTGTTATATTTGCTGGAAAGTCAGGCTTGTAATAACAAAATTGTTTTATTTGTGAATTTTACTGGCTTTAAAAAACTATATTTTTGAATGACATTCAACTTCAAGTTACAAAAAGGAAAAAGCAAACAAAGAAGCAAAATTTAGGGTATTCCTATGAGGTGAAAACAATCCATTTACTGTATACTGACTTGCTCATTTTAAAATAGCTAATAGGAAGTCTGTGTACATTAATGGTTCAACTACATAAAGGGCTCAACAAGTTGTTATTAAATGATGTCTTTTAACGTGTATGTGTATGTAAAGGCAATTGTCAATTGCTCCACAGACAAAACAGCTGAGCCATATTCCAGCTTTACACTGCGGTGAATGCAGTGTAATGATTAATCATAGTCAAATTGGTGTCTTTACCTGAGTAGAGAATTATCTCAGGTCACTTTATATACATACGTATGTTAATATGCTTCATAAATACCTGCATTTATTTGACAGGTCAACTCTGTGTAATGTATCAACATATCGATTTCCTGTCTCTCTCCACATGCTGAAGTGTCCTTGAGGAAGACATTGAACCCCAAATTGCCCCCTGCCCCATTTGTACATAATGTGTGATAGAGAAAACGTGCACATACAGTAGATGCATGGAATGAATGTGTGAATGGCTGTAAAGCACTTTGAGTTCTCATCAAGACTAGAAAAGCACTATATAAATATAAATACAGACTATTTACCATTGACTTTCCAAATCCAGCACTCACTGCTAAGAAGCTTTGGTGACACTTTCACAGAGTGACATTATTCCTGTAGGAAAATGTTTTTACCGTTATGACCACTAACTAACATCTGTGGGTTCTAAGCAAAAATGGATCTTTACTCTACAGCTCTCCTACTTTTCCTTAAATAATAATTTTCCTGCATCAGTCAGATGTAAAGCTGCACTCACTTGTTTCCTGAAAACAGCTGTCTGCCAAATCAATGAACTAAAAGAGGCTCTCTTACTCTTCTAAACTCTCATTCTAAGTGTCGACACTGTGACACATTTCACTTCAGTCACAATTTGATATATATTTTATGTTAATTTCTACTCCAACATTGTTGAAAACTCCAACATTATATACATATTAGGTTGAATTGGCTTCACTGCAGCCAGCTACAACATTCAAATACATCCTCAACATTTCTTCAACAAAGATAATAATAATAATTCTACTACAATGATAATGGAACTCTGACTTCACCCATTTTGGCTGCCGATGTTACACTGTATTGTAAAAACATTTTTCTGTTAATGCTCACACTTTTATCTTTATATTTTGTTATTGCTATGTTCTCAGATGAGCAAAATATAGTATGAAGTAATCAATATGGAAAAAGCTAATGCAGCTTTGTGGTTTACTTTTCTGACCCGTTGCAGTCTGTCCAGACCTTTGATCAGTGTCAGCAGGTCAGTAAACATTAAACATTATCTACTCTACAACACTGCAGAACCCCTCCTCCTCCTGGAAACAAGCCACAGTGAAAGAACATTTCACTTTTAAGTCCAAGTACAAGCCCTTTTCTTCCATTGCTTTTTTGTTGACATGATGACAGATCTCTGATCAACAGCTAAATAAATCTTTAATTGTGTTGTGCTGCAAGCCATACACTTAAAATATTGTAGGTTATGGTGCCCCCCCCCCCTCGGAATCCCATTCGCCTGTGGCTGTTGTCACTTGGTTTATTGGTTTACTCTGTGGAAACCCTCTTGAAACTGGCACAAAAGGAAGTTTCTCTCGAAACAGGAGTGCGCAGTGTGATGTCACTGTTAAGGACTGGTAATGTCTTACTGTTGTTATGAAGCTGGCTGCTGTGGGTTCCTTTACCAAAGACTCAAACAATAATGACACAAGCACCAATGCAAAACCAATTTGACTCCATCAGGTGTCAGCTATAGAAACACATCTTCCATCGTGCTGAATAGATCTATTTTTATTTGGATATCTTTTTTATTTTACAGTCTGACCTGTGCAAATGTATTTATTCATTTTTCACAATCTCATGAAATATTCCGATATGACCTTTGGACCTGAGGCATTTGAATTTCTTATACATTTCACATAGTCATAACCTGTTTGTTTTGGTTGTTGTGTACATGTGAGATATTTAAGATGTTTGTCACCATTTGTCTGTTGATGTGAGGCAAACTGACTTGATGAAATCTACAAGTTGATCAACAGTTTCCTGAGTTATTTCCAAAGCTGTTCCTCTTAA